ACTTGATACCATAAATTTGTTAGTTATCTGTAAAGGAAGCATTTAGGAAAAAATACAGGTGAACAAAGCCTTTTTAAAGAAGGCAATTAAGGATTAAGCTACTTGCGAGTTGTGTCTCCCTTTTAATTTTGTGATATGAATTCGACTGTACTACTACAATTCAATTTCCTTAACAACCTTATCTAGTGTTGTATTGTAATCAAGTATACGGTTGCTCGTCATCATGGACTGAGTACAAAGTATACATACCTTTTGGAAATTCTCCAATCTGCATTTAATAAAGCTTAGTTACTTTGGTGTCTCTACGAGTAACAGACAAATGGAGACAAGTGATAACACTTGGTGAGGAATGTTTATCGTCACAGCATACTTTTCCCTTCGTCAGCTAGTTCATTTCAGTTCTCTTTCTCCATTTCAGAGGCGATTTTCCCTATTATTATTATTGCTTGTGGAGTTGTGACTTAGTAGTCTACACGTTCGACTTCTAACCTGTCGAGTTTTGGACAGCCAGGTAATGTCACTAGCCCTTACACAATAGTTGTGGCTCATTTCCAACCTCATGGAATTGCAAGGGGTTGCTGGATAACACATTATTACCGCCTAACTCAATTAAGATTAACAAATTTACTTATTTTCTTTTATGAAACTTATCACAAGTTATTGACGAGAATATCTACATCGTAAAGTAATATTCTTAACAGTGGTTGGGTTACGCTGTTGTGATTTCTAAATACTGATTGTTCAGTTCTGTTGCGTCCCGCAAGAACCTCCATATATCTCCTTCGAAAGTAGCAGGCCATGGGGTCTTCATCGTCTGGAGGCAGCGACACCAAATTTAACGAGAGAAGAAACGAGACTTAGTAAAGGAATGCTCACTTGGATTTTGATATCGTTATATAGCGAGATTGTGTACACAATAACTTCAAACCACCATTTGCACAGGTCTTCCTTGTCGTGCTGCTTCAACCCCTTCGCATTGTGTTTCTTTGTCTTCTTTTCGTGTCTTCCATTTTTTGCTGCAGTACCGGTTCATTTCCTCTCCTTGACGTCAAGTTCACCTCTGCGCTATTTGATATTTTTGTACCGATGAACGACTCTCTATAAACTGCTGATAAATCTTATCAGTAGTAGTACGCGCCACATTACTGCTAAAACTAGTCGAACAGTGTTTTGTAATTTTGCAAAGTTTCATACATTTTGTTGTTTCCGGACAAAAACATGAAACTTGTAGTATTCATTGGTTTGGAATTCCCTCAACCTACTGAGGAGGAGAGCTCAGTGCTTCACTCACATTCCTAATAAGTTCTAGAATTGGATGAAATAATACTGTTTGGTTTTCAGCTGCACTCTGACTAATGTTAGTTTGTAACGAAAACTAATTTTAAAATCAATTAAATCTAAATTAATCCAAGTTTACGTGTACAGAATTGCAATCTTGGCTTAAATAGTTTATGTTTTTCTGAATAACTCAAGCTTTCTTGTCTATGATGCTGGTGACAGACAGAATGAAAACGACTACTCGCTAATTACAGAGTTAGCTAGCCTAGAATTACGTTTGTGTTAGTGCAACGTTAATACATTTGAAATTGACCATAAGGGCCCATCTAATTGTGACACACTACTACTGTTCAGGTAGCGAATTCTTTCAAAGCAAAGTTGACAGACAATCAGATTATTCAACGACTCACATACAAATACTGAACTTACTATGGAATATGAAAATGATTGAAATTTCAATTTCCTTGACATTGCCATACAACGCCTAGAAGATGGTAGTCTCCAGAGGTCAATTTACTGAAAGCCTACATGGAATGGACAATACCTACATTTTAATAGTTTTTGTCCAGTTAGCTTTAAACGAGCACTAGTCAAGACTCTATACTATAGAGCGAGGAGAATATGCTCTGCAGAGTAATTAGAGGAAGAATATTTATGATTCTCGAAAAGATGTTGAAAAACAACGATTACCCTCAGAGATTCATTAACAAATATGGAAGATGTGAAGTCTCAAATATCAAACAAATCACAGTGGGAAGAAAGCCTGTCTTCATTCAACTCATTTTTGAAGGTGATAATATTGCAGCAATAGTCAGCAGGAGATTGAGTATGTCACTAGCCAGAGCCTATGCTGCAGCTGAATTGGTTCCCATCTATCGGACAACATGCCCCTTGGTGCAGTCAAAAGTCGACAGATACCCTTCTCATGTTAACAACTCCAACTGTGTATACAAATTTATGTGTATCTGCGGGAGCAGTTACATTGGTAGACTAGAAAGAAGGGCACACCCCCGATCTTCTGAACATGTGCCGAAAAGCCTACGTCTCAAGTAAATAAACTCTTATAATAGCGCTATTACTAGACGTCTCCTCGATGGGGGTCATGAGGTGGAAATCGCGAAATCCTTTAAAATCATCAACAGACAAAGGAACTCGATTCTGCTCAAGTTTGCCGAAGCGATTTGCATCAAACGCTTGAAACCATATTTATGTGTTCACAAAGAAGCAGGTATCAGTCTTTTCTTGCCCTGGTAACTGGATGTCGTCATTCTCTCTTTCATTTGATTACGTAACCTTAAGCTTTAGCCTCACCCCGCTTTGATAAAGTGTAATTTTGCTTGTCTCTTCTTTCTGTGATTTGATTTGACGTCATTGTTACTTAATCTATTAGTCACTCATCATCCTACGCATTTCTCGTCTTTATTACGTAACTCCTTTACCATCGTATGCATTCTTTTATTTCGTCTAAACTTGAACTGCCTGTGTAAAAACGTATATAAACGTAATTTTCTGAGCGCTGTTCACTAATTCCGTAACCTCCTGTCAACTGACATCATGTAAAATATGAAAGTATGTTAAGACTTTTCTGTATATAAACTTAACAATTTATTTAGACTGTAAGCAGCTGATGGGAAGCTAAAGAGATAAATGATGGTACTATATTATTCTGCAAAAACTGTTTTTCTTGCTTTATTCAAATTCATAAAGGGGAATAAATGTATGCGATATGGGATACAGTGAATTGAGTTCATACTTAATGTGCACTAAATCTCCTATCTTAATCATATTTCAGATTTTGGATACAATTTTATTGATTAATACACCTATTTTTATCGTCTTCAATTGTAAAATATACTTAGCTGCAGAAATTTTATTATTCAAAGATAACAGAATTCTAGTATGCTTTCGTTTTTTGATTGGCTATTTGATGATTAAAACCCATAGATGAGGTGTCAGGTAATGACCGAATGAACTTTCATTTTGGGAATAATATAGCGTTACTTAATTCCATATTAAGTAGTGTAATGTACGTTTCACGAAGTTTAACAAAGTTGAGTCGAGTTTAATGAGATTTTTATGTTATGTGCATTTGAGTATCTAAGAAATTTGTGTAATAGCAACTAGTTTTCAATCTATGTCAAGCGTTGAGTAGTTAATGCCATTCAGACAGTGAATAACATTAGTTCCCTGTGGCCATCAGGGAATTAATGCTCATTTCACTAGAAATTAATGTGAATCACAAAAACGTTTCTAAGTAGTTGGTAATCAGTATTATTATTATTATTATTACTTAATCTTTACAAATAAAAAATAACACTAAATAAGTTTGATGATTTTGTGTTTGTGGTGGTTTAATCTCACTATGGATTCGCTTATGAACAAACAGCAATTAATGAATCTTCAAAAACTAAGGAGCACTGAACGGATGTTTTCCCCCCTAGTTTTGGACTCTTCAGCAGTGCTTACCCTTGAATTCACAGGAGGGTGGAACTCAGGGCCTTCACGTTACTCGCCGATCGTGTTTAACAATTAGACACTGTATTTTGATTGGACACTAGTCAGTAACTAGTGTGACGTGTCTAGTCCTTTCTTTGGTGCGAATTGAATTTTATCACTGTGGCCACCATTCTAGGTAGGTAGTGTCCAATCAAAATACCCACTACAGTCCTACAGGAGGTCACTTGCGGGCCCGAATAGCTCAGTGGTAACGTCTCTGACTGCGGTACTCACTGGGTGACGCAGGTTCGAATCTCAGAAGGGACCTGAGTTCCTTCGAGGTTGCAGATTCGCCTTACTGACGAGTGCCAACTAGCATGAAACCTAAGCGTGGCAGTGATTCTCACCGATTCCTTCCAAGTATCTAATATCATCACATGTAGACATTGTATTACAATCCACTGAAACATGGATTCTAACTTTTGCCGATTAGGGCCACCGTCAACTAACGATTATCTGCTCGTAAAGTGAAGTGATTGAATTCTGGTGGGATCATAAGTGAGCATTATCAGCTCAAAATAGCTGTCCAATACCTCTTAGTTTTGTTCCAGTCATCTTAACTAGTGTTGGGTGTTAATGAAATCTTTATGAAAAATAAAGTTATACATTTTCACTGAAAATAAAAATTTTTGTCGAATAAAAAAGCCAATATGAATTAAACCCTTTTTATTTACTAATCGATATGCTAAATGATGCCTCTCCGAGTATCATTTGATGTAATATCACTGAGTACAGTTCTGAACAATTTACATATTAGTTCTTGAACGGATAATTAGTTATCTTACAGCACAAAGATATTTATCAGTCAATGAACCAAGTATTCCCCTATTGAGTCATAAGAAAAGGCACAAACTGCGAAGAAAATTTTCTTTTCGACGATCCATTTTCATGAGCTGTACAATCGTAATTATATTTAACAAAGAAATGTTTAGACCAATCAGATACTGGTAAACTTTGTCCTTGAAAAATTGTATTACATAATGTAAGGTGCAAGAAGGGATGACTAAATTGTAAGTTAGAAAGGAAACAGAAGTTGGCATGACGTAATAAGTGTGAGATAATGACTAATCAATAAGCTCGTGTAGAATGGACAGGAACTAGTGGAGAGGCGATAAAGTGTTTTTGTATAAAATCTGTATGAAAAAGCAATGTTATTAATAAGCAGTAATAGAATGGTATTAAAATGTGAATGATGGGAATAATAATGATAATAAAAGTATTGATGATGATAATAATAATAATAATAATAGGAAACTTACATAATGAAGGAAAGAAGCAAAATTGTAGTAAGAACTTTACTCTGGCCATGGTAGGGCGAGAGATTGTATGCATCGCTTTTAAATGCAGAGGTCCAGTTTCATATCTCGAATAGCTAATGCTTCAGCTATGTACAGATGGCGTATCCGAAGTCTCTTTGTACGGTATTAAGGGACTCTGTGTATCACTGTAAAGCATTCATTTGGGGGTGCCCAATGTACAGAGATTTTATACAAAAACACTTTATCGCCTTTCCACTAGTTCCTGTCCATTCTACACAAGCTTATTGATTAGTCATTGTCTCACACTTATTACGTCATGCCAACTTCTGTCTCTTTTCTAACTTACAATTTAGTCATCCCTTCTTACACCTTACATTATGTAATACAGTTTTTCAATTTGAATAAGTAGGAAACGAAGACATATTTCTGTTTGTATATTTTTCTTAGGAATCATGTGGCACTTGTAGACGTTCACCGGCAAAACAAAGCAATTATATGAGCATCGACTTGAACTATAGTGAATATGCGTAACTCGATAAACAGGAGTGTATATCAATCAATACTTCCGCATGCAGCAGATATAGACGTCCAATCTGCCTTTCATTATGACATGAAAAGAAAACTGTTCCACTGCATACAATCATACCCTTTTTATTACAAGAGTTAAATGAAAACACACAAACTTGGAGAAACAGCGAATTTTAAACATATGTATATATTACACTGTTAACATCATAGTATCGTCACTTAAATAAAATAATTAAAGTTTTTTTTTTTACTACACTGCATTCTTTCTTCATGACCTCTTTATTTTCATTTAATTGAATAAATTACATCAGAGTAAATGCTGCGTTTAAGACAGTGAAGTTATACAACAGATCATTGTTAAAAAAATGCATGTTCATCAAACTGCTAAAAGAAAAAGAAATTCCAATGATATGATGATATTAAAATCTAGCAGATGGACACTGTGTGGTGGTATAATTATTTTTATCTTTTATAATAGAATAATAAGTGTTCAATTCATATTTCACATAGTTCAATGTTTTTTAGTGTTCAGACGTAGAAAGGGAGGATAGATAGAATGGCTGTTTTTTTGTCATCGTTACAGTCCATCTTATGTTAGCTGATGAATTTTTAGTTGATACTTTCATTATGTATTATTGTATTTAGACCAATTGAAGTTTCATAAGTTGGAGGTGGTGTATCTGGTCGAGTATTAAAAATCAATGATTGAGATAATTGGCTTGGATTTTCTAGATTTTGACATTGACAATATTGACAGTTTTGGTGGTCATTGTATTGACTATCTTGATGAACTTTTGCTCCTCTATCTAGTTGATCTTTTCTACAATATGGTGAAGGTCGATCCAATTTTATAAATGAAGCGATATTTGTATTGTTGTCTATAGAATTGTTTTCGTTTACATAGCTTTGAGGTGTTTCATACACCGATGACAAGCCTGTACAATTTTGATTGTCATCATATGAATTCTTTTGTACATTGACAAATACTCTATCCGAAAATGATTTATTTACATAGAGAAGACAAGGCCAATCTTGTGCATAGTTATTCAAACTTGAAGGTCGTTGCTGTTGCCGTTGTTGTTGTTGTTGTTGTTGCTGATGTATCGAATAAACAAATCGATGTGAATTCAGTGTTCTATGTTCATGGGTTTTTGTTAATTCACTAGGGGAGCTTTCATTATTTCTTGTCACACTTTTATTCCTAAACAGAGATAATAGAGAACTGCTATTCGACCTTCTCACTTTTTGATATTTGTAACTTGTACAGAAGAATAGAATTCCACCACTAAAGGCAAATATCGCTATAAGAAATGTAATAGTCAAAATTAAAAATAACATAATGAATTCGTTGTAACGATGATGTAATCTATCCTTTCTCACTGTTTCATTTACAAACTGGTTATGTAAACAGTTATCCTCTGAATGATCATGATGATGTTGTGTATTATTACTGTTATTATTATTATTACTATTTTTATTCAATTTACGTATTTCACAATGTTTTCCTTCCCATGCAGATGAACATAGACATTTGTATGAGCCTAAGAGATCACGACATCCAGCATTATTTTGACATAATGAACGTCCAGTTTGTCTTGGTATTTCAGAGCATTCATTAATATTTTCACGACATGTTATACCTTTCCAACCAGGCAAACAATTACATTGGAAGCTAATTGATTCATCTAAACACTCTCCACCATTTGCACATGAATTATTTTGACATGCTGTTAATTTCATTTGACAGTGAGAACCAGTAAAACGAGGCGGACAAATGCACTGATAACCATTTATTAAATCGATACAATGACCACCTAAAAGGATATAATAGGAAGTAAACAATAAAATAGTCAGTTTATAAATTTTTTGCTCTCAGCATAAAGAACAAGTTGAAAACCAGGGATTACTGGACAGCTGTTTCTGTACACACCCATTGGGATTCCAACTCAGGACCTTCCGTTTATAAGGCAAGCTCGTATACCATTCAGCCACTTGGACCCTTTCCCATGGCCCATGAATTCTAACTCCTACCAATTCGTGATTTGGCGAGACCATCAACCAATGTCATCGGTGGGACATTCATCTTCACACTTGACTGGATGATCCTCACTGGTCACGACTTCTCACTAGAACTCCAGGAAAATCCGTCCTGTAGTAAATCACTAGCGAGCATCAGATTAATTTTCTATAGTTAGTTGTTAAGGATTAGTGAGGATGGATGTCCCACGGATGACACTGGTGGATGGTCGTGCTAAATCATGAATTGATAGAAGTTATAATTCATGGACCATTGAATCTGGTCCCAGTGGCTGAATGGGATACGAGCCTGCCTTGGAACCGGAAGGTCCTGGGTTCGAACCTCGGAGTGTGCTTACTGCCGATGATTCCCAAAGTAGGATGAAACAGCTGTCCAGTACTCCCTGGTTTTCAATGGTTCTCTAACTGATATCAATCCGTGATCAACTCGTAAAAAAAAACAAGAAAACTACTCCTTTCAAATCAACTATAGAAAATAAAGAACAAGGCTTGGATTTTCAACACTATTGTCAAGTGAATCTTTTCTTCTGTATGGTTCATTGACTTGACTCATTCGTCACAGAAAGCATTTTCAGTAGACTGTCAGCGATTCTCGTTGACAGCCACCTTCTCTTCATACTGATGATCACAAAGGATTAGTAATTGGGACTTGTGGCAACGAACTAACTCAGAACCTATCGCTCAATAAATGTACTGGAAGAAATGAAGGCAATGGATTGAACACACACAATGAGGAGACTGTCGAATGACATCATACTTCAGATCATCGCTCTAGTGGAACCCTAATGGAGACGACGGGAAGGGTGTCGTTAGGTTGACATGCAGAAGATAGTGTGAGGAGGAAATAAAGGCCTATGGGCAATCGTGGAGTCGGTTAAACTAGAATGCAGATAACAGAATGAAATGGAGATGTAATTTTAAAACCGGTTTGTTCTACTCGGAACCTAAGGGAATGATAATAACAATGCATAACAGTCTGTATAAGACAAAGTTTCGACGTGACTATCAAGATGTACTTTCAGGCATTCAACAACTGATATAAACCTCTAGTTTTTGTTTGGACTGATTTCAGTCAACCGTATAGTTGATTATTGGATTCAACAGAAAATGTGCTTCTGTTAGATGGCAACATAACATTACCACTATCCTATACCGTTGAAAACAAGATACTCCTGTGACATTATAATGATGATGCATTTTACAGATGATTCAGCATCTACTGTTAGTCTTCGAAGGAGTGGTATTTTCTCGGTTTCTTATGGTGTTATCATCTTTGACACTTATCCTTAGATATGAAAGCTTAAAAGGATCGATTACTCACTAGTCTCAAGTTAATCTTGAGAAGAGAATGATCATGAAGAAGATAAGTCCAACCTATTAGTTTGACTCCTATATCTTGTCGAAAAATCATTAGCACTGTAGAAATCAAAGTGAAGGTGAGTAGGTTTTTGTTATGTACTAGTTTTCCCCGTCGCCAAATTGTTATGTACTCGTCGCTAAATTATTGTTATGGACTGGTCGAGAAACTAATAGTCCTGACGTGAGAAGGCGGAAATCAGAAGACCACTAGGTTTGCGATGATACTTCTATTGTCCAAACACAAGGAGACGAAAATAAATGGTCTCACACCAAAGTGGTAAGTAAGTAAGTAGTTGTAAAGTAAAGTAGTTCACACAAATTGTGAATGCGAAATATATATGAATGTTCCAGACAAAGCGTGGGAAAAAATCATTAGACAGTCTTAACATGAATGGCTAATTATAATGGAGTGTCGATCCAAATATACATAGCGAATATAGCAGACATGTCAACAACCATATATGGATATATGTCACTAAGCAACGGACTGTCAACAAACACTCATATTATATATAATATAATATAAGGAGAATACACATTAATAAAGGAGACAAGTTCACACAAGTGAAATGGTCACAGACTAAGCGAGCAAACAGAAAGAGAGACCAACATACACACACACATACATATATATATGTGGATACATATCAGTTTTTTTCTTATTATTCGCTAAAGAATGAGAGCTGTGACACCAGCCGAATTTCAAAAGCAATTCAACTAACAGTAGTAGATGGCATCACAGTTTTTCCGTTGAAACTTCTGCTTTATTGCATTAATTAAAGTCATCTCGACCAAGGAATAAGCTTGTGTTTTCCTTCCTTTTTCAGCTAGAATTCGCCTTCCATAACATTGATCTAGCATTATTTTTATGTTACTATTTTATTCCTTTACGTTCAAAGTGGAACATAGGGCTCCAAGCTACAGCTTTAAGGTTTCCATAGTAGTAGTTTTATTTTATACGGGGTGGAGTTGCTAGCCTCATGCTCAACCTTCCCTCTGTGAGGCCCTAATATCCGCTTAGCAAGGTGTAGGAGTGTGTCGACCAGGAATCGAACCGTGGACCATGTGCATGGTTGGCGAGCATTCTACCCCTGAACCACTGATGCACACTGATCCAATAATACCTTACTTTGGGAAAATAATCTACAAAATAAGCCCCCGTATTAAGGTTTAAATTTTTCAGTAATGCAACGTGGAAACTTATTTCAGCAACTTTAGCTGTTTTAGAGCAGAATATTATCATTATAAAGAATATTGATGATTAATAGTCATTAGTTCTGCGACTTATTTTACCAGGTTTTAAAATAAGACTTTGGAAAATTGTCTTCACGATAATTGTGAAAATCGTGAATTTATGCAGCCGTTTATAACAACTATTTTGTCGGAATTTAAGTATAAATGAGATTGAGGAATTTTTACAAGAAACCAACCAGCTCAGAAAACACTATTAATTGCAAGAAGCCTACATATTAATAGAGACTGTTTCTTGAGGGTGAGGCTATCTAAGATAACCTGGAATTAGTGGACTACTATTGGAGTGGCGAGTTATGCTTGAAGGTAGAATAGAAATCTGAGTTTGAAGTTTGATCACGGATTGATGTCAGTGCTACAAAGTTACTTCGTTCTGGTTCCAAACTCTTCGGCAACACACACCCACGCTTCCCCCCCGCCCGCAAGTACCGAAAGCAGGACCTTCCCGTTAAGAGACCAGGCTCGGTGACCATTCAGCCACTTGGTCCGGAACCCAACGGCCCATGAATCCCAATTTCTACCGCTTGGTGATTTTAGCATGATTACCAGACAGTATATTTGCCCTCACACCTGACCTCATGAACCTCACTAGCCACGACTTCTTACTAGAACTCCAAGTGACTTCGTCCTGTAGCCGGTCAGTAGCGAGCATCAGATTAATTTTAAATGGTTAATTTGTAGAGATTTGGTTTGCGTCAAGTTTTGATTACAGATTGATATCAACTGCATCATTAATCAGATCAATAGGCTGTCCGATTACTAGTCCAGCGCTTCACTAGCTGAGCTATGAGGTCCCTCTACTAATCACACCACCACTAGTAATTCCAAGCTTTCACTTTGTTGAACAGCTCGTGGTTATTCCTCTTTGGTTATCAGATAGGCCTCTTGGCTTAGCTGCTAGAACGGCGGATCAGTAACCAAGAAGCTGGAGATTCGAATTCTGAATTTACTTGATGAATGACCAACAATTTAGGAATATGGAAAAATCAGAAAGGAAATTGATTATCACTAGTAAACATTTGGCAAGCGTAATGTAATAGCCTCGTGTTTAAAATGTCACATGCTATGCTCCAGTATTTATGATCATGCCAACAAAACGCGATGTAGGTAAGACGAGCTAATCAGTTTCAAATGGAACAAAATGCGCCTATGGACATCAATGGTTGCTCATCTCAAAACGCTATTGATACACATTCTGTTCCCCAATATTTTGATTAGTGTTGCTATTGTTACCAGATAGAGAAGACTAGGCAAATAAAAGTACATATAGAAGAAAAGGCGTTCAGTGAATAGTTACTTTTTCCCACCATATCACCTCTGAACGCCTTTTTATATAATAATAGTAGCTTTATTATGTACAGCGTTTCTTTGCTGTACAAAATTTTCAGCATAGTTCATTGCATGAGATTTTCTCTTCATCTAGGATCTTCAGATAAAATATCACGTGACGGTAGACGATGTGAAACACTTCTGCCAGGCATGAAGCGCATACCAAGAAATTATGATGTCTCTCCTTTGTCTTCTTCGGTAAATGCATGTGGTTTAGTTGAATAACAATTAGCAAAGTTCTAGGAATCCATTCTTTGAACCAAGGAAACAAGCTATGCACAGCTTTATCTCTTGCATTGCAATACACCCCAACCCACGATTATGTTTTTCACGCGATAATTAGAAACTGGCAAATCAGCAAGTTTTAAGCACATTAAATACTCACCAGAGTATAAAACGTAATCGAAGGTCATAATTTTTCAGATTCAAACAAACTGAACGGGAGAAAATATCTGTGAACTACCAATAGGACTTTCTAAGTAGCGCTAATTCAAGCAGGCCGCCAGTTGATATAAATGGGAATTTTTAAGTTGCTCAAATAAAAGTACGTATCATTTTGAGTAATCAATGTGACGAAGAGGCAAAACACATGCAATTATCAAGTTATTAGCGTGTCGTTGACATGCATTTGTTTCTGCTTTCTGATTGGACGCTTGCACAATTCCAAACTCTCAACCGGATTGGTTGATTTCCAGTCTACCTTATTTTTGTATAAATACAGTCACTTTTTTCATAAATAAATGATTCTGGTTTTACCGCTGATTATCGCGTGTTCTGCTTTACCAGTTAAGTGGGCACTGGTCAGTAGTTAAGCAGTTACCTCGAGAAAAAGATCTAGCATCATAACAATCAAGATATAATAAAAACCAATGATTGTAAATGGCTATTGATAAATGGTATCTTCTGAAGTTTATGAAATTACTTTCAGTATACTTACCATTTTGACAAGGCTTTGACAAACACTCATCTATATCAAATTCACAGTTCTCACCGAATCTACCTTGTTCACACTGACACTTGAATTGTCGCATTTTCAATGTAATTTGTTCATTATTGTCTGCTGTTATTTCAGTAATTCTTTCATGACATTTAGACTGATTTCCTAAACACGGATTTTCATCACATGTTGTTTGATTAAATTGACAAAATGTACCATAGTATGTTGAATTGCACATACATATCCCATCTTTCTGAAGCGTATAACATAATATATAATACAAATATAATTATTTACAAAACAAAATATGTCCTTAAGAAGAGAATAAATTTTTCTAAAAACAGCTGTGATTACTACATTTCAATAGAAGTGAAATGTGATACTAAATGCCATGATATACACGGCCGATGCGCTACTTTACATCGTCTAACCAGTTCTAAGACTGGTAAAGTGGGAAGGTTGGGCATAAGGCTAGCATCCCCATCCCGTAAAAATAAACGCCACTGCTACTGAAACTTCAAAGCTCTATCTTGAAGCCCTATGCTCCACAGCGAACGTAAAGGAATATAATGATAATAATAATATTAATAATAATAATGAAAATTTGTTAAATAATCTATGATGGTCTAACCAAGGGATATTTGTAGGGCATCAAAGAAGCTCGTCAACTCAATTGAAACTCAGCCGTTTCACCGTCATTGTTGTACTCTTGTGATTTATTGCATGGAACCTCTCATCCGAAGAATATTCTACAACCGATGCATAGCTTCTACTAGTAGATACGACCCCAACAGTGAATGTTCCTGTGGATTATATGAATAATTTGTAGCAGCGGACCTTAACAGCATCGTCAAGTAATCACTAATATCTATAACTCATTAACTGTAGATTTTATAACATACGGTTAAAATTTTCTTTCATTAACTTGGATTTTTATACTGATATTTTGGACCGTTTTAGAGCTCAATATTAAGCCCCCTAAAAATCAATTGGTTAGCAGGTTTAAGCATTTGTAGCTTTATATATATATATATATATATATATATATATATATATTAACCATGTCATCATTGCTGCTTCGGAATTCAGTAATAAACACAATAGGTGATCTGCTCCTGACTTTATTTGGTTTTATCCACCCTAGAATTTGGTTCGCTATTATCGAGCCCTTCTTCGCCACACAGGGTATCAAGTCACAGGTAGCTAAGTATGGATGCATCTTAGCTGCACTGTATACAGATACACTAAAAGATATTATAGACCTAATCGACAGTGTTCCTGAAGATCACCAATACGACCGAATGAAAGCGGTTTTAATCCGGAAAATGAGTGTGTCAGAAGAGAAAAGGGTTCAACAATTACTCACAACATGTTAATTAGGTCCAGGGACACCGTCTCAACTCCTCAGGCATATGCGTCAACTGATTAATCCACATAAGGTTGACGAAGTAGTCTTACTGTAGATGTTGGTTGCAACAACTACCATAAAACATCCAACAAATTTTAACTATCTCCTATAAATCCGTCAACCTAGGTGAATAAAGTGAGCTTGCAGATAACACCTGACACCGTTGTCTGTAATGTATCAAAACATAATGGGTTAGCAGTTCAGGTTGAGTCTATTACGGACTTACCGGTATTATCATCTATTTTGGCATTACTAAACAAAATGGGAAAGTTAGAAACTGAAATGTTCAGCCTACATGCACGATTTGGTAGACCACAATCTATGCCACGACAATGTCGATTCTCTTTCTCAAGACGGCTGACCAGGACATCTTCTAATACTCGTAATATCTGCTAGTATCATAGAAAGTTTGGGAATTGAGCTATTCGGTGTGTGAAACAGTGCAGTTTGAATAGTGGTGACTCGGCTCAGGGAAAGTTTCTAGTCTGATGGTGACGACTGTTACTCGCACTCACTCAAGTCGACTTTCCTAAGTGAGGGATAGAAGTACAGACACACTACTCCTGGTAGAGACAGGACACCAAGTTAGTGTAATATTCCCTTCACTATCCAGGCAGCCTGCTAGCCCAACAGAGAAACTTTCACTTCTAGTAGCTAACCAAACAAGCAATCAGACTTACAGCGAATTGTCACTCATCTTGGACCTTGGTTTACGTCTTCGTCTCACATGGATTTTCATAGTAGCTGACGTTCATCATGCTAAAACTGGTGCTGATTTCTTAAGTAGTTTCAGTCTATTTGTTGGTTTCAACGGGGAAAAACTGACTGACAACCACACCCAGCTTGAAATCCAGGGAATCTTTTCAGACTACTCCGTTTGTAAAATTTGCATCAAAAAGCTTTATAACTGCACATTTTCTGCACTATTGCAACGTTTTCCTAAAATTCTAAAGCTGTCTAACAGTATCGAAGACGTTCCTCATTCTGTCGCTCATTAAATCATCGCAACTGGTCACCATGTCCGAGCACATCCTCGTCACCTACTACCTGACAGACCGGCCGTAGCTAAAGCCTCATTTCAACACATGATGCAACTGGGCATCATTCGACCTTCCAATGGTCGTTGGTACCAAACGCCCAGCATGACTGGTGACCATGTGGGGATTACTACCACCTGATGAACACTACTGTCTCATGTCGTTATCCTATTTCCCATTTGGATAACTTCTCCCTGACACTGCATGGTTAAACTATTTTCTCCAAAGCGGATTTAGTCAGTGCTTATCACTGGGTAGAATTTGCTCCAGAGGACATTGATAAGACAGCCATCATAACACCTTTTGGTTTGTCTGAATTTCTGCTTTCTGTTTCAGATTCTCAATAAATAACAGATGTTACAAGTTCGGCAAGGTCCTCCTACGCGCAGCAACTCCCATTACTGGATCGAATCAACAGAAGTTGGTTCTGGTGGGGGAGTAATGTAGGGGATCAAATAGGCTTGTCAACTCAGTTGAATCTCAGCCGTTTCACTGTCAACGATCAGTTTGTTTATCCGTGTGGACTGAAACATATGGTGGTGAATATATTTTTAAGGAATAAGAGGTCGGCAGCTTTGTTGTGGTGTGATTATCTACTCGTACATTTGTTCCTAATCATCGTCAACGAATATATCTTTCAGCAGCCGTAAGTTGGGGCGGTGTTAAGAGCAGACCAGCCACGATATTAGGTAGGCCAGGCCAAACGGTCTGCAGGTAATATGCCTGGCGTTCAGGATTGATAGCCACATATCAATCCTGAGCGTTATATCCAGTCGAAACCAACTGAAAAAGAGTTCAAAATCATTCAAGCAGCCTAACTAACTGGTTTCCTAGATATTCTGTCATCATCTTCGAATAAAAACCTGTTAAATACGCGTTTGTACACATTTTAGTAAGTGGAAATTTGACTGCATTTGACAGACATTAATATATAGAGATAGCCAGGCTGATTTAGAAGGTTTATTTTTTCATGTTTGGTGCTAAATAGACAGGGCTACACGGGATTAGTAGGAATGAAAGTAAAAGAAAAGATTGTACTATACAAGTGACCTAAGAAAATGTGATAACAGTAGGATGGTTAGGGTTATTATATGATTATGAACAACACATTCAAACATCAGCAGATAAATAATACTGTATTACTATATACAGTAGTACATCGGTGACACAGCGATAGGATGCTTGCCGACCACACATCTGATCTGGAGTTCGATCCCCTTCTGACACACTCCATTACTTCGCTAAGCCAGTAATAAGATTGGTAAAGAGGGAAATTGGGCATGAGGCTAGCAATCCCAGCCCGTAAAAATAAACACCACTGCTACTGAAACTTCAAAGTGTTCTAGCTCGAAGCCCTATGCTACACAGCGAACGTAAAGGAATAAAAAAATACGGTAAAACTACTCTGCTATGGAGGCATGTTATGCATAATGAATTGTAGTTAGTTCTCACTGCTTCGGAGTGACTTTTTCGGTCGGAGTTTACAGCCACTGTGATGGCGAAACTCGGCAGGATTTGGTAGCATAATGGTTTATCTGGCATAATGATGTACAATTATGGCAAAATATAGAAATCTTGCACTGGAATCTTCATGTGCATATGTTTTCCGTATTGTGTTTCGTTAGTCCAACTTTCATGCCTTCCATATTGCTTCACAAGCAGCTTTCATTTCTCCGATTCACAGCTCAGTTCCCCGTTTCGTTATCTAATATTCGTGCGCAACACATTACATTCAATATTATTACTTACAAAATCTTGGCAGCAACACACTCCAAAATGGTGTTTTTAGTATCCAGCTGTCTGAGTTTTGGATTTCGTATCATTACAAAACTAAAATTACAATTATTCATGACAGACTATAAGTTGTAACTAATATTGAATGTTAAAATTATATCACCACATTATTAACCAAATTTACCTGACATTCACCTCTTTGATTACATCCATGAAATTTACAATCTATAATTTGTTTCTCACAATGTATCCCATAATATCCTGGTAAACATTCACAACGATATGGCACTTTTAATCCATTTGGATCAGGTTGATTGATGCATACACCGTGATTATGACAGATATTTGGATTCTGATCACAAATTCGTGCATCTAAAATGGGCGAGGGGAAGTTATCATTTATATAAAGAATTTAATAAAAGATTTTAAACATTGTAAGGTAGACGGGCGTATTTTGGTGACGAAATCTGCATTGAAAGTAATCCGAATCCCTACAGAAAAGCTTCTACTCGAAATATCAATCTCCAGTACATTGATGGCTATTGGATGGATGTTCTGAAGCCGACGAGTCATGGCCAGTGGGCACTGGTTGAGGGTAGCACTATATCGCGAATGGACAGAAGTTAAAATTCATAGGAGATTGAATCCCGGACTCAAGTGGCTGGTTAGCCAACGAGTTTAACCTCTTAACCTGAAGGTCCCTGCTGGGGTTGCTAGTGTGCACTATTGAAGAGTGCCAGACTATGATGAAACAGCTCCCAACGGTTCACTAGCTTTCAGTGATCTGTGGATGATACTGGTTCGTGTGGAAACCTACACTGAGATATACAACGAATTACTAAGTAACTGTTCTCACTCATTATTATTGTTTTTTTTAATTCCTAGAGGAAAATAGGGAACATCTATCAACATTGAATACTGCCATTAAAATATTAAGCGAACGACACAAGGAACAAATACGAGTTGTCCTCAACGGAAAACTAGCTAAGATATCCAAACAACCATCTGAAGAAACTCTAAATGATTGCGTAGTAAATCTATCAAAACAACCATTATCGAAAGCAGAAGAACAACTTCTTCAGAAAGGACTCAACTACAATACTGGTGACGCTTCAGTAACAGATTTCTGTGCTTCCAGCTAATAAAAAGTAAATCATGTGACCAGAAAGTTAAAAATCCGAGTCAATAGAAAATGGTCAATACATATGTAAAGATGGTTACCGGGAGACGCAGTTATATCACTCATGAAGAAATTTAAATAATTTCACTTTATGCTAAATATTGCGCTGTAGATGTTGTCCAGAAGGACGACGAAAGCTCCGCACCTAAACCAACCAGCTCAGAGAACACTATTAATTGCAAATCATCCACCTGAGCTACAAATCTCCTCTATTATTTCAAAATCTTACTAGTGTGATACGCTTCTGTGTTGTCGAAAATGGGAAGACTTTGCTAAAAGGCAAGTTTCTGCAAAAGAACAACTATTCTTTCTTCATAAATATCTCCGCCAGCAGATACTACCAGCTTCTGTCAAATATAAACCACCAATTGACTGCTCTCTAGGCTGGAACTTATCTAAACAACATGGAAAACAAATGGTGAAATTAATGATCACGGATTTTCTCAGTCAGCAACTGTTTAATAATAATAATAAGTTTTTCATTAAGATATTCATGAGAATAGGAGCAATCTGCTCCTATCCAGAAAAGTTCATCGATAAGAATGTGAATCAGAAGTCAAGGAAGGCTTAAGTACCGACAATATACTACTAATATGAAGCTGGGAATGAAGATTATGCATACAGTGTCACATAACTTTGTAACTGCTCAGACTAATTACCTTTACGTTAGTATATCTAACTGGAAATTAATTAAAGAAATGACAAAAAAAACAGTGAAAACTGTAATGTAAGAACTTGCAAGACTCCATAAGACAAAATGATGAATTGTTTTGAAAGTTAAGCAGAACTTGTCAATTGGATGGTTTACATGGCTTCTCATACACACCGAATTAAATATATGGGTAGATATATCACAGACAGATCACAGTAAACTAGCTACAGTAACAAAAAGGTAACATATTTACAGGTCACTTTAAGGTGCGGGAATAATTAGGAAGAGTGAGAGAAATTGAAAGTTAATTATACAACCCTTTAGAAAGCTTTCTAAAAATGATGTTTAGACTATCAGCGCATCTTGGAAACACCATCTTTTCCTTTCCACAGACTGGGGTTCCTCACTTAACATACACCGACGCGGCAGAGGACAGACTAAATAGCATAAAAGATAAATGACGATTCCGTTTAGAGGGAACTAACAGTATCAGTTAAAATGTCTAATTTGTGTGATACCTTACACTTAACTCTTGCTTAGCCAACGTGGATTTTATAATGGGTTAGATTAGGCAACATGATAATAGTTGCTCTCTAATGACCAGCCAATGTGAACTATACTACCTCTTGAGAGAAAATTTATGGAGCTCAACATATGGTTCCAGATAAGAAAATGAGTTTACTCGAATGACTTAGAAATATTCAATAAGATATGCGTCGGTGGCACAGCGGTTAGTACTCTCGCCAACCATGCACATGGTCCGAGGTTCGATCTTCTACCGACGCACACCTGATATCTATGGTTGGCTTGCGAAATTCGGGCTACCGATATCCATGCAGGAAATTCCATACTTGTACCAGAAATACAGTGTGGAATAAAACTGTAATCAAAAATAAAAAAAAGTAAGAAATATACCTTAATGAACATTTCCTGGAGAGTAAATTACTCAGAGTGTAGGGAAGAGGGAGGTAACCCTTACAATGTTAAAATAATACACTGCAAAAAATTACAAATTTGTCAATGATTGATGGAAGCTACCAGGAATAAAACAGACCGGATGGATCGTCTGAGTGGTATTAAGGCCAAATGATCAGTACTATCCTTGAGAATACATTTTCATGAAAATCTCATGTATATTCTTTAAAATTTGGCTGTGTGTTGAAGAATAGTCACTAATTGTACTTCCATCCTTTTCGATGGTAATCTGTCATGCGCTGTTGAGGAAGAAACCACAAATTTCTGATTTTTGTCTTCAGTTATTTGAAATGAAATCACTTTCTAAATGACTCAAGTTCTCCATAGAAGAAAGAAATACAATCTAAGCAAAGAAGCAGTCAGCCTGTAGGAAGACTAGTAATTCAGTTAAAATACAAAAATATCAATTATTACTCATAAATTAATCATTTTCCAGACTTACTTATGTTACACAGCATACCATTCCAACCTGATTCACATTCACATGTGAATGGTACGTGGCTAGCACGTGTCATATTGAAAAAACAATGTCCATTTAAACAGCCTGGCATTGTAATACATCGGTCACAGTTTGAACCTGTCCAACCATCTAAACATCTGGAAAAATGAATACAATTTGAAATGTAATCTTCAGGATACTAAGGCTTAGTACAAATTCCTAATTTATTATTTTTAATTAGATCAGTCACTTAGCAATATTCAAAATGGTTGAAGTTTAATTGGTATTATTAGATTACTATTCATTCCCTACATCCCAAGTGGAACGCAGGGCTTTACCATCACATCTTTATTGGACTCTGTTATTTTCTATCATTTTTCAGTTGACTCCGCTACTATTCACAAGTTTTCATTTCATCTTCATCTGACCTTTTAGACTCAAATGTCTAACTCTTCACTTCTCATTCAGGTTTCATTCGAGGACCTGGCTGGCATTTGATGTTACACAACTGTCTTCGAGACGTATGTCCAATTCGTCTCCATTTCTTTCTGCATATTTGCTCAGCAATAGGCTGTTGTTTGATTTATTGATTACCAGAGTTCACTGTTGACTGTCGTTTCTGGTCATTCGATTTTCAGTAATGAAAGTAAAACAAGCGTTGATAAACATCTGCAACAGTGCTTTTGCTGACGGATACGACAAGTCCATGAATCCTATTAGAGTAGTGACTCATCTGACATTAATATAAAAAATGGGATCTTGTTTGTGGTGCTGATTGCTGCAGATTTCTATATTTACTGTAAAGCGATGAACTTCTGTATATATTGCCTCCCCTATACTGGTTGTCTTTGACATCCGTTATTTCGCCTGAAGTTGAAACTGTGTTTCAAAAATATCTAGGTGAGAGAGAGAGAACTTTCCTTATATGTATTCTATTGGTGGAGATTCGTGATTGTTGTTGTCGGTTAGGGATCTTGACCAACTTCATCTCTTATATGTTCACCTAAAGTCCAGTCTTAGCTGTCTCTTCTGCCAGCTTGTTGATTTTCGCCTGTAGATCTTCGACTTTATATGAATTTAGACATAAATCACCCAGGAAGTGCAGATCTTTTAGACTGTCTTTGTCACTGCAGCCTATGCTCATCAATTCACTTCCCACAGACGGTCTGTTGCTTGATCCAATTCACCACAATTAGGCATACCAAAGGTAATAGTATCCAACTTTGTCTTACTCGTGTCTTGGCTTCAAACGCTTCAATGAACTTTTCATTTTGAGCTGGTGAAACGCGCTAGATGTATACTTCATTTTTGCTGACAGACATCGGCAGACCTGTTTTCTTTGATGTAGTTTTACAGTGTTAGCCTACAAACTTAAACTTGGAAGTCAGAGAAAAGTATTGCAATATTCAAGTCAGAATTAAACCTTTGCAGAATTAGGTTATATTTACAAACCAATCGTCAAAATGTAAATTTTTTAATCCTTCATTTGTAAACATGGTCAACTTCTATTGGTAGAATGGAAGATTCATTTTAAATCACTCACTAGTATACATTAGAAATACATTTGAAGAAAGCCTCTTGACATCGTTTTCAACTTATATTACTCATTTCCTGATAGTGTGGATTATGTTAGATAAAATAACCTCGTTATACTAATTTTGTAAGATTTTATGTTATTTTTCGTAATTTTTGTGCGTTAGTTTTACTACTACCTAATATGTTACTTAAATTCGATTTAAAAGTAATATAAGTGTGATTAACTAAAACATATTATACTCCAAGTATGACATGTGCAGCAGAATGAGGTTGAAAATTTAGACAGAATTTCTTTAAGAATAGACAGTTGCTGAATAGAAGTAAGCAAGTTTATATCTAATATCGATGCTGTTGTAACGACAGAAGACAAGGACCAGGCAACATACCGTTTATTGAGAAAATCAACAGATATCTATAGATTTTTATGCACATTATTATTCGTTATTGTTAGCAGAGAAGCAAAGTTTTCTGATTGGTTGTTTCCTTGCTGAAGGTTATTCTGTCATCTCTTTGTGGCCGTTTCTTAAAAGGTTAGGCCATATATCTGCGAATCTTATTTGCACACGTTAAGTCTGCTGTGATTGGCTGGTGAATTTCCTACGGTTAAGCTTTGTTACTGTTTTTTCTCATGACCCCGATTTGGGACATAAACACTGACGTAAATTATTGTCTACAATTTCGGCTTGCAGACAGCTTTCACCAGAGTATTACATTCCTTTAATATTTACTAAATTAAATGAGTTGAGTAAACTTCCAGATTTAATATTTGCTCTAACAAGAACATTGTTAGGTGGAGTAAATGTGTGGATCTGTAGGCTGCATCAATCACACTGTATTTCTGCGGACGTGTGGTTCACGTGTGGTTCCAGTTCCACCTCACACACTTCAGAGTGGACGACTGAGCAGTATTCACAATCCCCATTCATTACGTGTAGCTTGTAGTCTAGTACATGAAAAATCTGTTCCTAGCAACTTAGTTCTAGCAACGCAAGAAAATCATGGCAGTCGAGGTTATCTATAAATACCTTTTTCCGTTATGCGATACCATATCAGTCATCGGAATTTTAAATCGTTGTGATCGTCCACTCTTAAGAACCAATGGTAATTACAGAAATAAGTGAAATAGTTCCGTGACATCACTATTTAGAAAATATAAACTTCTATGTAGATCAGTTAGTCAAGATTCAGCAAATAAGTAGCTGAATAGCAATAATTAGTATTATTTGATCGGTCCTTTTTCACACGCATGATTTTGGCGGTCGGTCTTGTCAGGCTCATGTAAACCATAAACCTCACTGTGCGACTTCATCAAAATAAATTTTACTAATAATGGAACCTATCCATCATTTCTAAGAATATCTATGGGTCAAAATAGTAATTTATGTTCTGGTAATTATTTCATTGTTTAAGTTTAAATTGTCGCTGGAAGGACATTCGATTACAGCAGTATTTTCAGCAAAATCTAAGTTTATTGCATTCTTTATGGTTATTTATTTTAGTGAATACTAGTTAGGAGAGTGACACTGAAGTCACTAGTTTACATTTTCATTCCTGGTTGATTTGTTGAGATAAATGCGGCTTTTGGGGGTTTGATCGTTGCGTCGTCTTCTATAAACTAGGTTGTTGAGACTGAACTGTATCTCAATCATTTAGAAATTCAACATTATATCCTCGAATTCAACATGGACATTCTTTTTGACCTGTTTTAACTTACTCAAACTGATAGCTGCTCTCATGTTTCATTAGCTATGCTTATATATCAACTAGATTGACTTTTCTACTTAGATTATTCGTTGTCTCATTTCCTTGTGAACTTCTGTCTGTATTTATAATTTTTTTTGTTCAATTTGTTCTGCTTGTTTTAGTGAAGTGCTTGAGGCGGAATATTGTTTTGTCGATTTACCTACTTATCACATATTCAGTAATTTAATTCTCACCTTAAGTAATTTCTCATAGTTAGTGACGTAATCATATTTAAATATTTCACTTTTATAGTAACAACAATGTCTGGTGTGGTTTTCAACTCACCTGCATAATTCCGGTCCAATACAGTTTCCATGTTTACAGCCTTTTCTGCAAAGTGCTAAAAATTTCAATAAAAAAAACGATTTCTTTAGGGGGTGATTACATTATACCACTTACTTTTTAATTATCCTACATTCATCAGTGTATGAAAAAAACTAATAGAATTTAAAAAATATTCTAGTGCATAGGTCAACAGCTGCCTTTACTGTCTCCATACTGAAGATCAAATGGCCAGCTGGCCAAAATGAATTAGCACCAAGAAAATCTGGCTGGGAACAAACAAACCAAGAGCTAAACTGCTAAGCAGATACGTAACAGGAAATGGAGATGGATCGGGAGCACGTTGAGGAAACCGTTAATCGACGTCGTCTTCCATGCCCTCGGCCAGAACCCAGATGGGAAGCGACGACTGGGGCATCGGTACCAGGGTGACATGCTAGAGATCGTGCAAATAGGAGCTGGGAGATTGTGGGCGATCGTAAATCCAGGTGAAGAGGACGGTAGAAAATAGAACAAAGCTGAGATGTGTTACTGAAGCCCTATGTTCCATTCGGAACCAAAGAGAATAATAATAACAAGTAATAATCAACATCTGTAAGTCCAATTTCATCTAAATTACATCAGTGATTCACTGTAGTGTAGTTATTGAATATTTCGCAATTAAATCAAGAATAGATTTTTGTAAGTTAGTCAGAAGTTATTCCTTAACATTTATCCTGATGATTTAAAGTTAATAACAAACGTAACTACTAAACGTTAATTCTACTACGCATACTTTGTGAATGAACTTCGGTTCAACTTCAGTGCGATATCACTGCCTCCAACGTTTTTGTACAGAATTCTATTTCCGTTCACTACTGACATTTATTTTATTCTATGACAACTTTCTATCCGTTGAATGCTTAGCTTTTAATTTCTAATATGTAACTGTAATTTGAATGTATGTACACTCAAGCGTATAAAAGGTTTCAAGAGTTAATATGTAGGAATTTGTTTTTGATCATGGACTGAAGTGAATTGGAGAACCATTGGTGAATCAGGCGGTACTGGTAATGTCTTTCCTGCTAGTCTACAATCCTTCTAAATCACACAACCACCGATCCATCAAGAATCAAACACACAATCATCACGTTGTGAGGCGAAGCTCATTGACTATTCAATCACTGGGACCCAATCTACTGACCTATTGATTCTAATTCCTGTCAGTTCGTGACTTCTAGTGCGACCACCAGCCAGTATCAGTGACAAGGATTTATTTGAATAAGAGATTTAGAAGACGAATTTCACGAGATGATATCATAATTTCGTAGTTTCTTTACCACCGCTTTACAACCAAGATGGTTCACAATAACAAAATAAAATACATGACAATTACTCAGTCATATAAAATAAAAGTACATACTACTAGTGACCAATCATATTTAAATAGGTCAAGTAGTCCATGGTGGGTGAAGGTTGAAGTTTATTGATTTTTGTACACACACTTTATGCTGTATGTGATTAATCCCCCAAAGTGCTTCCATCACCTTTAATCACCAAACTTGAATTACAGTTATGTGATGAAGTAATTGTGAAACAGTCATTAATATTGATTTTGTGACCTGACATTAATAAGTGTTCTGCAATGGATGATCCTGCTGGATTTCTATTCAGATTAATCGCATTGGGATTTTCTATATGTTTTAATTACCATTTTGGAACATGTTCTTTTCGACCACGACATTGGAACATTCTGTTGGTTCTACCTATATAGGTGTCACCTCAGCTGCAGGTAAACTTGTAGATACAGTTTGAAATAGAGTCCACAGAATTTCGTCCATTAATCGTAGGTAAAGGGATAGAAAATGTTCGGCAAGTGAGAAAAAGAGATGCAGCGTAGAATGTGCATTTGATGGTTGACCGAAGTCTTTGAGCTGTCAGCTGCATAATCTGGTCACCCTTGAACGGCAGGTTAATAAAGATAGCTTTCCTTGGTACAGAAGAGGTCTTTTCTAGATGCGGTCTATCCTTACTGTGACAACTGATACAGTTTTCTGGATAACCATTAGCTAATAAAACTGAATGTTTATGTCAAAGCTCATCCATTAATGTATCACTATTGTATACTTTGCTGGCATTTGAGAACAAACATTTCACCATGGAACGTTTATACTGGATAGGAGCAAAATTGATGAAATGAAGATACTGCCCACTCTATGTCTGTTTACGAAAAATAGATCGTTTAATCGTTCCATCGTCTCTCCTGATCATTGTAATATCTAGGAAACCGAGTTTGTTATTCGATTCGAGTTCGGAATTCACTCGGATATTTGGATAATATTATTGAATAGAGTAATAAAGTTTTCAGTAGACCTACTATTATTACCAATAATGAGTGTATCATCCACATAACGTTTGTTTAGCATGAATTCTCCAAGCATACCTTGCATTTTTTCCACAATCTCGACATGAATATATATGCTAACAGAGGCCCAAGAGGTCTCACCACTGCAAAACCGTCGATTTGTTTGCATGCATTTTCTTGGAAGGTGAATCTGATATTTTTAGTACATATTAAGATGATGTCTCTGATGTAAGTGATGTAAATATTTATCCGAAGACCTCACCTAGTCGACCTCAGTAATGGTCACAACTACTAACTAGAACTCCAAACACTTTCATCTTATAACCAATCACTAGAGGGTATCAGATTAATTTTATGGAGATAATTTGTAGAGACTTGATTTGATTCAGGTTTAATCACAAAATGACGCAAGTTAGAGAACTGTTGAAAACCAGGAAGTACTGGGTCCTGAGTTCGTTCTCATGTATGGTTGGGTTTGCATACTACCTAGTAATCGCACACAAGAACGGGAAATCTGTACAGTATTCCCTTGTATTCACTGGTTCTCAATCAATCCATGGTCAAACGATACAAAAAGTGCGATTGACAGAGGTCCTGGCTCAAAATCCAATAGAAATGACCTACCCGCTTACTGTAAAACTTTCTTCTATCTTTTTATCTACTTATTTGTGTATTTAAGTAGCATAAAACAAATTTGTTTTTTAATGTAGGGTAAATTATTCTAGTGTCTTTGTAGCAGGTGCGCTCTAATTGTAGCGTCGTAGTCCGTTTCTATGGTGGTTTAGTGACAAGTTGTATTTTTCATACACTTTATGAAGGAAATTTTGCACCAGGAAAAAATTTTTCTTGATTGACATAATATTGCCAGTGTAATGTACTTGAACCGCATTATATTTACTGCTTTCTTATCAGAAAATGAGGCTTGACAGTGATATCTGAGCGATGTAATGGATTAAAGGAGGCAGTAAGTTCAAAATTTATATGTCTTTTGAAGTCATCATGAAATCATGTTAGTATATTTGGCGTATTTATTAAAACGCGCTAATATTCACAGGATTAAGCAGGTGGTGCAATTTCAAAAAAAGGGAAATGCCCAAATTATACAATGTTGAATGCAGTAAGAACGTCAGAAAGCATGGAAAAAACTGGTCTGTAGGATTATTTCATGTACCACAGTTTTTGGACCATTATTATCAGTAGTCTGGACAATATTCTCATTGATGCTTATTATTATATTTTCTTTTTTGATGTGGTTGTGTTCTCTGATCTGGATGGTTGATTTGCGAAGCTTTCATCACCCTACTGGGTGATATCTTCAGCGCATACTTCAATTTGTAGTGGGATTTTACATTTCTCCACGAATTTATTAATCATCTCTCCTGGTGACTTAGGTCGTGATTAGTTGTTTTTGTGTGTTTTCACACCTTCTAGGTTACTTGTATTGGAACTGATTGTTCCTTTGACTTGAACTTTGACCCTTTGTGTGTGAGGTTGATAAATTTTGTCTATCTCTATGTGTCTATTAATTGATGATCCACTGGAATGCCAAGCTTCTAAAAATTGTCTAGTATTCTTTTTGTTTCCTCTGTCTAATATTTGAACGTTGTCCCAGTCGAATTGATGTCCGTGGTTGTCTGTATGTAGTGATATGAGGGAGTGGATATCATGTCTTTTGACGGCTAGTTTATGTTCGTGAATACAAAGACGAAGGGGACTCCCACTTTGGCTAATGTAGTGTTTTTCGCAGTTGTTGCAGTTTATTTTGTAGATGATATTGGTTTTATCTTCTTTCGCTGTCGAGTCTTTTGGTTGACATAGAATTGAGTGAAGTGACTTTGTTGGTTTGTGTACGAAGTCCATCCAGATTGTGTGGAAGGAATGCATAAATCTATGCCTAACAACATACTTCCAATTCAACGACCAAATATATGAACAAGTCAAAGGAACACCCATGGGAACACCGATATCAGGTTTGATTGCAGAAGCAGTGATGCAAAGGCTCAAAAACATTATTCTACCAAAGATCAAACCCAAGATTTGGATACGCTACGTCGACGACACATTTGTGATAATGAAAAGAAACGAGTTAAATAAAACACACAGCTTAATAAACAACGTCTTTAACGACATCGAATTCACAAGAGAAGAAGAATCTGAGAACAAAATCCCATTTTTGGACGTCTTAGTCAAGCGAACAACCACAGGGGAATTAGAAACTCACGTTTATAGAAAATCAACTCACACAGACCAAATCCTGAATTACAACAGTAACAATCCAATAACACACAAAAGGAATTGCATACAAACACTATTCAAGAGGGCAAGGACTCTTTGCAGCACTCCCACATTAAGGAAAATAGGAGAAAAATATCTCATGGACGTCTTCCAAAAGAATGGATATCCACGGAATTTCATCAAGAGACATATACCCCCAAGCCAACCTATCAAACCAAAAGGCCCAAGGAAAGCACAGAGAAAATCGTCTTACCATATATAAAGGATATCTCAGAAATCACTACAAGACTCTTCAAACCTTTCTTCTTTAATTATTCCATGAAATTAATCTGCTTAGAATAAAAACTGTGGTATATTTCTACTTTTCTTTTCAGCAACATCTGTGTTTTTCTAGTGCTTACTGTTAAGTGATTAAATTCATTTTTAGAAGTACAAACTCAAATTCAAAACCTGAGGGATTTAAGAAATACATCTTTTATTGACTTTTTGTGCCTGGTCATGTAAAGCAAATAGTTGGTTGAGTCAAACTCCAGATTTTCAAGAGTTATTTTGTAGAGGTTGGATTGACTTTAAGTTTGGTTACCGATTGGTTTCAGTCAGAGAGCGATTGGGAAATCAGGGAGTACTGGGGAGCTCTTTCCTCCTAGTCTGGAACACTCAAGTAGTATTCATCAACTAGAATTTGAACAAGGACCTTCCAATTACAAGGCAAGTTTGTAGACCTCCTAGATAACAATCCCTGATCAAACTTTAATCCAATCAAATCCCCACAAATTATCTCCTCAAAATTAATCTGATACCCTCTTGTGGTAGGTTATAAGATGAAGATGCCTGGTGTTCTAATTAGAAGCCTTGACTGGCGGTCACACTAGAAGTCACGAACTGACAGGAATTAGAATCCATGGGTCAGTGGATTGTATCCCAGTGATTGAATAGTCAACGAGCTTCGGCTCACAACGTGATGATTGTGTGATTGATCCTTGGTGGATTGGCGGTTGTGTGATTCAGAAAGATTGTAGACTAGGAGGAAAAAGCTCCTCAGTACTCCTTGATTTTCCACTAGTCCTCTAACTGACATCAATCCATTGTCATATCTGTAAGAAAACTCTGGATTGTTGAGATGAAATTCAGATGTTTCAGTCAGTTAGATCGATGAAGCGTAGGGCTATTAGTTGTATGTCTCCTTGTCTGAATCCTGTTGCAGTCGAAGTTTATGGTCCAAGTTCAGTCTTTTGTCCGCTTGAATCACTACCATTCTTTTATCGTTTTCATTATGGAATAACTGCGTTCATGAAAAATGTTTAGGCTAATTAGAATAAAGTATTTGTTTCATCCTATCGGCAGAGCGCTGCATTGATCCCTCTATAAATCGAAATCTTTTCACAATGCGAATTCCTTATAACTGTTTAAAATATTTAGCACTTCTCCTGTTAACATATTACTGGTATCCAGGCGGTGTGCTTGAGTCACTGGGCTATGGGAATTTCCATCCAAGAAAATGCTTCGAATTTTTTTATCTTTTATTATTTTAATCTGTTTCAGTTTAGACCACGGATTGATATCCGTTAGAGAACCATTGAAAGGCATGGAGTACTGGACAACTGTTTCGTCCCTCCGAGTTTGGGACTCATTGGCAATATGCACCCACTGGGTTTTGAACCCACGACCTTCCGGTTACAAAACAAGCTCGTATACCATTCAGCATTTTTGACGTAGTACTCATTGGTTTTCCATGGTTCTCTAACTAATATCAGTCCGTGATCTTACTTTAAACAAATAGAATCCCTATCAATTTATTTTTGAATATTAATTTAATCATTTCATCAGACCTTTGAGTCACGAAATGTACTCGCACACGTTTTTAATTAGCTTTGAGCCTACTGTTTTGCATTTACCGGGGATGATGGGAGAATAAACTACACATGGAACAGTATTGCATCACATGATTCACTTTGGATTCATGTTTTTACTTGAACATCCTGGATGAGGAGAGAATATTATGTCATAAATCACTGAGAATTCTATATATATATTGTGTAAACATTTTGTTCAGAATAAAGCTGTTATTATTGTTAATATTACTTACTTCTTTTTCCGTAAACAGTTGTTTCATCACATTTGGCTAAATAATGCATTTCTGACTATCAATTGCATTGACAATGTGCCATTTTGTTTTAAATCATTTGCCTTATTTAACTTTCTGTGCTATACTAATTTGTGTAAAATAGTTTTCCATATATAATTTGTAAACCTGGCGTATTTTTTAAACTGTTGCTTGAATGCAACTGATAAGAAGCCATGAAATAAAATAAATTCACTGCCTTTTGTAATATTTCGTTAATCTTCAGACACCATAAGGTATATATATATACATATATATACTACGCAAGAGGACAGATGAAAATTACTGAAAGAGCTAATTATCCTGTTTATGTTTTCGACTAGGTAAGGTAATATGCGACTGACTTTTCGGAATGCTTTAATTTTAATTTGTACAGTACGGGTTCATTTCTTCTAATGGATTTTAGTAGAGTAAAGTTTACTTCATAAATGAATAAAGCTAAATGCAAGCGAATGATAACATCACATGTCTATATTTCTGCAGAAAAACCAGGCGACTGTTTTTAATAGAGTAACTTATTGTAAATTTTACGAAACTGTTTACCAGCATGATTGAATATAGAATGGGGTTGTCAAACAACCTGTGGTACTGCATATTGTCAAAGTAATTATAAAAGTTTCTATATTACAAAAGTCAATGTGTTGCACAAACGTTGTTTACAATACTAATATAACGGAAATATTCAGACATCTATAAAACACAAAATAATTGAGCAAAGAATATCCTTTCCGATAATATACATAGAATATTCTAGATTAGTAGTCAATAACAATATTAGTGTTTTTTGAAAATAATATCGATCTGTAAAGTAGGATCAAGGGAATTACAGTTCAATAAAGATGCTTAGATTATAATAATAATAATAATAATAATAATAAAGATATGGTAGCAAATAGAATATCAACTAAAATTGAGGATCATTTGAACCTAGATGGCCGAGGTAAGGATAATGTCTGAACTAACTTCTTTTGGACGCACAAATTAGGCTTCTTAATGTGGATCCCAACAGTCAGCCTCAGTAATATTTAGTAATCGAACTCTTAAGGCGAAATTAAGATTTGTTGGTATGCGGCTAATGTAACTGGCTCGACAGAAGTAAAAGACAAACTGTCTAATTTCGCCTTCTCCATGTGTATCTTCCAATTTAACTGCTCCTGTGGAGCCGGTTACATAAGCCATACAACTAGATGTGTTTCTCATTGGATTTCCGAACATCACCATGCTTAGTGGTCAAGTAAAGGACAAATAAAATGCATCGATAGCGCTATTCTATCTCATCTTGTGGAGACAGAACACAAGATTGATGTTAACCAGGCTTTCAGAGTCATTTACCGCATACCAACAAATCTTAATTTCGCCTCAAGAGTTCGGTTACTAAATAATGCTGAGGCTGACTGTTGGGATCCACATTAAGAAGCCTAATTTGTGCGTCCAAAAGAAGTTAGTTCAGACATTATCCTTACCTCGGCCATCTAGGTTCAAATGATCTTCAGTTTTTGTGGAATTTTTGTAATTTTAGTTGATATTCTATTTGCTACCATATCTTTATTATTATTATTATTATTATTATTATAGCTGAAGCATCTTTAATGAGCTGTAAATGCATTGATCTTACTTTACAAATCGATATTATTTAAAAAAAACAAAATATATTCTTATTGACTACTATTATGGAATATTCTATGTATATAGGCATATATATAATTATGGGGCCAGAAGAGGAAATTATCGAAAAGGATATTCTTTGCTCAATTATTTTGTGTTATATAAAATATTAATATTTATTTACTTAGTATCATTAAGGAATATGTTTTCATCAGGTGCATCCCTAGGATCGAGCATATGCAGGTAAATATACTTCTGCTATCCATCTGCACACCCAGTGAAAACACCCTCATTCCATGCACTTCTGAACGGTGGCAAAATAACTATGCTTCTTGAAAATAAGAATATATATCTTTTGAAAATGAATAAGGATTTCTATAATTTAAAAAAATAAAGGACACAGTGAATTACTTTTAGTTGTTTTTTACCATTGTGACGCAATTACAAAGGAATAATTGTTTGCCAAATCCCTCCTGAACGATCTATTCACAATACTGCTATTTATTTAAGTATTCTAACCAACTTTATAATTGTTATTAATGCTCTTTTCTCCTAGACTGTATATCATTATTCTAACGTTCGCATACTATCTGTTGACTGAATCCTCATTATTTGTCTTTCTCCGTGTTTAATCTCTGACTTGAAAGCTTCTCTTTGTAGTTGTCTGTTGACATTGGTAATGTGTTTTTCGACGACTGTGATTTTGTTTGGATGAGTCAGGGTGATTCCGATCTTGAACTGGCTGTGAGGATTTTTTGGTGTGTGATTCTTGTGAACATAGTGTTGAATATTCTACTTGATTTTCAAGTGCTTCTCAAGGTTGGTTAACATGAGTTAAATAATTCTGTTGTATGATTCTTGTTTTGTACTTGGGAAGTAATCTGATCTATGCAGCTGTCTAACGGAACCGTTGTGAAATAGAACCACAGATGTTACAGTAGATAACCACCTTTTTGCTATCTCTAGGGTGTTATATGACTGTGTGTGGGCGTGTGTGACTAAAGGAAGTTTTGATCAGCTATGCAGTAGCACACAAAGATGGGTTTCCTGAGTTCATACCACAACAATTCAGGAACCACTTTTAAAATACTTGTGTAGGCCTTTCCAATTATTCACGCTTATTCATGTCTAAATTAATATAATTACTGATTAAAGCTGAATTAAACAACAAAAAAGAGTTCATTCTTTTTCTGTTTTTCACTAAAGTTTGTGAGGCGGGGGTTATGCGTAGGCAGCATCGAGATATTAAACACAGTTATCTTACGACAACAATTTTTGATTGGAGGATTTTATCATGAACTGACATCAGTTACAGAATCATTGAAAAACCTGGAAATACTGGACAGCTGTTTTGTCCCAGTTTGGGACTCTTCATTAATATCAACCCACCGAGCTACGAGCTCTCCTTGTAACCAGTAGGTTCCGGGTTCGAACCCCAATAGGTGCATATTGCTTAAGAGTTCCAAACTAGACTGACGAAACAGTTGTCCAGTACTCCCAGGTGGTTTCCTAATGGTTCTCTAACTGATGCCAGCTCACGATGAAATCCTGTAACCAATCAAACAAAATCCCTACAAAACCAATACATGAAAACACTTATTTTTACCAACCAGAGCTTCTGTAGTAACTAAGGTGTGAAAACTTTTACAAATTTTAAAAATAAGCGAAACATTTGAAATCCATTTACAAGAAATAAAAATAATTTTTCTAACCTTGATTACATCTTGCACCTGTCCATCCAGGGTTACATACTAATTCTCCTGTTTGTGGATGACAATGATAATGACCGTGTTTAGAGTCACGTGGTTTACAATAATGATTACAATTTTCACCATAGTAGTTTAATGAACATGAATAACGATACCTAACAGAGATACTGAAATGTAGCGGAGCTTTTGATGACGATGATGATGATGATGTGTTTAAAGTTGTTTCAGCCACAGACTCTTGATATGCATTTGAATTTGAATTATTATCACTTCCAAATAAGTTGATTAGTTTCCATGGTTGATTAAGCTCAACTCTTGATAAAACTGTTGATAACTGATCGATTAGCCATAAATCTGGAATATAAAAGCTCACTTTTATTATTTTTGTTATTATTACAGGTAGTAGGATTAATTCATAAAAAGAAATGGTAATCGATATTTTGTTCATTCATAATCAGTTGGTTGTTATTTGTCTATACAATACAGTACTAAAGTGCGCTTTATTTTCGGTGGTCAGAAAGTTTCATTTGTGAAAAGAAACATTAGTGCAGCATATTTCAAACGCAGAATCTTTGGGGGCTTTAACTAAATCTATTCACTACTGCAATAACAAGTGGAGGATCTTTAGTAGTCCAGGGTTTATGCAGGCCGCCACAGATCAATCCTTCGGTATACGTAGGATTATTTCAAAGAAAGAAATTCACACAAGAGATAACTCCAAAATAATTACAATGATTGTGGTGCCTAATCAGCGAATTATTTCTCAATCCCAGGGGTAGGATGAGTTTTATTTTCCATGGATGGGTATATGAAACTACTGAATGTAAGTTCGGGGATCCATTTCAATTGTCCACAGATATTTACTTCGGAAAACAATACATTGCTGTGTATTGCTTAGTGTCACGCTAGCGCCACATTTACCTTTAGAGTTCACTCTCGACAGTATCTGAAAAGGACTCTTTATATAGTCCTACGTGTGTAGATATGCTTCTGTATATGTTAGAAATACTCTAAATAATTGTCCTAAATTATACTTTAGCGATTGAAGTATCCTTTAATTTATTTATCGAGTGGTCAGTGGAATCCAGAGTAATGACGTTTTCTAAATTTATGAATCAAATCATTTAAAACAGATAAGTAGCACTAATCATTCTCAGAGGTAATGTTTTAATCCATGGAACTAATGGCATGAGTGAAGATATTGGAAGAGAAAGGTACACCTGAGTGACTGTCATGACGTCTAAATCGGTAGTGGTCTAATGATCCCCACTGATCACTCACTATCACAGAAAATGATTATCCTATTTTGAAGTATTGATTTTGCAGGGATTTTGTTTGATTGGTTGGTGGATTTCATCATTAGCTGACATCGGTTAGAGGATGATTGGGAAACCTGCAGGGAGTACTGGACAGCAGTTTCTGTGGTCCTATTTTAGGGCTCATCGGCAGTGCGCACTCACCACCGGGGTTTGAACCCTGGACCTTCTGGTCACAAGGAGGGCTCGTAGTTCGGTACGTGCGTACTATGAAGAGACCCAAACTATGGCGAAACAGCTGTTCAGTACTCCCAGGTTGTTTTCCAATGGTTCTCTAACTGATGTCAACTCATGGTGAAATCCTGTAACCGACTATCCTATTCTTCTCTAAACGATAATTTTACAAAACGCATGTCAAGGTAGGCGTGACAGTCGCTTTGGTGATTATTCTTTAAAGTATACACTTTATTTAGAAGGGGATTAATGTCTTTATATGTGATATCAATTTCACAAGGGATTAATAGTGATAGAAATTATTATTAATAAGGTAGTTGTTTGGCATCTTCCGTTATTTGATTTTTAGTGATAGCTGCTGTGTTACTAGGCTTCATAATGTCGTCCCGAATAACTTTATTAAGTTACGGAGTAATATGTACGGATTGTGGCTCCTGAAATCATTGTTAAACCTGGGAATCTTAAGCAGGGTTTAGTTTTCGGAATGTTTAAAGGGAAGCCTAATTATATGAAAACAACACTATCAGTTATTAGCTACTAGTCTTGAGTTAGATTCCCCGAAGTTCTAATCAGAACTGTTATACGACGTTATTCGTCATATGAGAGATAGAAGAGGTTACACTTATTGATGGCGATGGATCGCGGTGATACATCTGAAGACTTCCAAACTGGAAAGAGATAGCTGTCAAATTTCATTTGATTTTTAGTGAAAATTCATCCGATCTAATTTCATGATGAAAGCTGTTCAGCAAAATAAAATGGCAAATGCCTATAATTTTCAACTCTTGTATTGTAAGTAATATAGACTGATGTTTGCATTTGGACTTATTTTCTTATTTCAGGAGTAAGTTCCACCATGAAACTGAAAAAAAATTAATTCCAATGCGACCAGTAGGAAAAGACAGCCATCAGAGGTAGTGCAAAAAGTCACATATCAGTTTAGTTGTGTTGGAATCTTTAACTGCTGAAGATGTTTTCTGGGATGATAATCGAACATCCTCAATTAAGCCACGTAGGTCAGAGAAGACTCGAGAAGACAAATCTTCCTCATGACTTCTAAAATAGCATATTGCTAGTAGTCAGTTGTTCGAACTACGTTAGCTAATTATTAGTAGTGAGTACAAAAGAATTACTTAAAACTACAGAATTTCGCAGATAAAATAAACACTGTGTAATACAAGTAAGTGAAGATAATCTCTTACCTCCATTGGACGTTAGATGGTATACATTGAATAACACTTGAAGGCTGTTCTGTAAATAAAAGTCAATAAAATACACATCAGAATAGTTAGGATACACAAATTAGGTCAGATTAAAAACAACCAATCATGAAGTAAGTGAATCAAAGAAATATAATGAAAATCAAATGGTCTGTTGATACTCGATTAATAAGGCAAATAATCCTATACACAAAGGAAACTGGTTATCTCAATCGAATAGAGTGTAGAAAAGGAAACTGAGAACAAGAGCAGTCACCTTTTGTAAAAAGATTCGCATAGCGAAATCTCATACATTTGAGGTGTTACTTATAAAGGCCCCAGCTTGAATCATTGTGTAGGAACTTAGCTGATCTATATTAGATAGGACTAAACACTATCTAAATTCAACTTTTTACCACCTGCGCCATAACAATAACATTTAAGCAGTTTATAAGAATTTTCAGATAACAAATTTTGTCATTATTCTCTCATTACTTTCATCACTCTTAAGTCTGTGTGGAAGTCAACAGCACTCAGCATCCAAAATAACATCCGGATTTTCAACTCCAATGTGAAGTAAGTGCTACTATACGGATCAGAGACGCAGCGTGTCAAGAACTGCACTTTGAACAAACAACAGACCTTCATTAACAGTTGTCTTCGCTCAATACTCAAGATCAGATGTCTGGCCAGAAAGGATCAGCAATAGGGATGTCTGGGAGCGAATCAACCAGGAACCGACTGTGCAACAAATATGCAGGACGAAATGGAGATGGACTGGTCATACTCTGAGAAAACAATAAAGTGACATCACACGCCAGACCATTGCTCGAGTGGAACCCGGTCGAAAGGGAAGCGGCGAGTTGGTCATCAGTGCAAGGGTGACATACAGGAGGTCATGTGAAGAGGAGATGAAAGCATGTGGGCAGACTTAGACCCAGGTGGAAACTCTAGGAGAGAACCGAACGCACGGCTGAAGCCCTATGTTCCTCTAGGAATAAAAGGAAATAATAATGTTGCCAATCGCAGTGCGTCGGTGGCATAAAGGTAGAATGCTCGCCGACCACGCAAATGGTAAGGGGTTCGACTCCTGGCCACTGACGCACTCCTTTACCTCGCTAAGCCAGTAATAAGATTGATGAAGAGGGAAGGTTGGGCATGAGTCTAGCAGCTCCATTCTGTAAAAATAAACAACCCTGCTACAGAAACTTCAAGCCTCTGGCTTGAAGCCCTATGTTCCAATGGGAGCATGAAGGAATAAAATAAATAAATAAATGTTGCCAATCGAAATTTTTTGTGTAAATAAGCAACCAGGAACTGGGTTATCGGAATTCAGATAGATTTTAATAAACACATCACCATGAACTGAAATTAACAAAAAGAGCATTTAGGACTACGGAAAACTGTATAGCCACTTCGTTTTAGTTTTGGAAATTCTTTGGTGGCATGAAATCGTCTCGTTTGACTTTAAATTGAGAATTATAAAGTTACATTCCTAAATCCCAGAATATCGGTCAAATAGTAACGTCACAGTCTTAGAACTTAACTACCCTTGACTAAATTCCTGATTCAAGCGTAGGTCAGTAACCTCAGGTTAGGTCGAGTTAGCCGCCCGGTGTTGAGTGATTTTAATTCTCTTCTAGGGACAAAATATTGTCTCCAAATTAGTAATCGATTGAATAGTCTTGAAAATCTAAAAGAATTTCATTTCAAGTTTATATGCATGGAAGGATTTATGCATTTACAGACTTATGCATGCAGGTAGGTAGGTAGGTAAGTGGGCAGCTGAATGACGTAGGAATGATTTTGCCTCCATATAATTTCTGTACTAAAAGTACTTAGTAAGATGAAAGTTTGTTCATGCTTAGTTAAATATAAAGTCTTTAATACAACATGTAATAAAATAATCAAAGCTTACAGACATATGTTTTTAATTATGTCATAGTCTCTCTTAAAATATAAAAAGATAAACAAGTCATGTATTTAATGCAAATGCACAAAACAAATTAACGCGAAAGAAAGTAGTAACAGCGGAAAATATAGAAAGGAAACAAAACTAATACAGATTGATTGAATCTAACGCATGGAATGGATGACACCAGTAGTAGAAGTATTTGTTGTTTATCGGTATAATTCACCAAGAGTTCAATTTTCAACAGATGGTATGTAAATATATTGCTCGGAAGTTGGCGCACATTTAAAATGAGAGAAAATTTTCTTAATAGTCATCCGAACAGGAACATTTTATCCTGCTGAGAGTAATGATTAGTAAATTCACATTTTACTGACTAAGTATAGTGGAACCTTAACATTAGATAAGCTATTTTAAACTTTCTCAGCAGAGTACCATTACTCAATGGGGATTCATATATATTCTCAGTGTATAAAAATCCAAATAGAACGAAAGGCGTGTCCTTGATTCCACAGCTAGATATCACCAAATGAAAAAAGCTTTCTTTTTCATTCATATCAACTTGAAGAATCAGATTGATGTGTACATATTGGTTCAACTTATAATTATTTATACGATGGTAATCAACAGAATTTTCGGCATTTATCAAGTGAAGCTGTCAAGTCATCTTTAGAAAAACTGTGGATATCCTCGGAATCATAACAACATTGTCCAATGATACATTTTTAAAGAGTCAACAATAGGTCTTTCAAGTAACAATGACTTTATGTCAACTCCTGGTAGATAAAACGTAGTTGGTGTTGATTACAAGAAAACTACCATGGTTACCATTTATTTACGTAAATATTGGTTAAATGTTAAATATATATACATAATCAATTCATGATACTTACTTTAATCATTGTACTTAACTTTAAGTTGTAGGTTAAATTCAATTGATTTATAGAAGTATTTATATTAAGTACACCGGTCATTATTTGTTCATGTCCTATTTCACAACCAACTGGCAATAATTCATTATAAATTTCCCATGAAAATGATGGTGTCCGATTATAAGCTTGAATTAAATTTTCATGATGTTTTATTAAAATTGGTGTATTCACTGAAATATGCTGATGTTTATTGTTTATATAATCCACTTCAGCAACACATATACCCAATACAATATGACACTGATTTGTGTCGATATGTGTATAGCATTTTTCAAAAATATTCGGTTCGTAGATTTTATTCAGTGAATGGTTGTGTGTAGTAATCAAGCTGAGGGTTAAGTATTCAATGTGTAAGTCAAATTCACTTCTTGTGAAGAATTTCTGAAAAGGAAAATTGAAAATGAGCAATGATATACATGAAATATTACAGTTAAGAAAAGTAAATATATATATGATATCAAAACTTACTCACTGAAGTTACATACTTCTAGATTTCGCATCTCAGCGATTCTGTCTAGTCTTCTAGTTGGTTCAGTATAGATAAATGAAACTATTATGCTTGATTGGTTGGAGGATTTCATCCTGAGCTGAAATCAGTTAAAGAACCATCGGAAAACTTGGGAGTACTGGACAACTGCTTCTCCCTAGTTCGGGACTCTTAATCAGTACGCATCCACCAGGGTTCGAACCCAGTTGCTCCAAGTGACATCAGCTCATGATGAAATCCTTTGACCAATCAATCAAACAAAAATCCCTACAAAACTAATACTTGGAAATTACTATGTTTATCGAAGGTCAGAGAATGTAGCGAAGTTTTCCAAATGATTTTACGAGAAACGTAGTATTCTTTGGCACACAATCTGCACTTTTGAAATTCTGAGTGTCCTTCTTAAGTTATATTTGTACTGCATAGAGAAGATAAAATGCAGATGCCTGGTGTCATGAAGTGAATTATGAATATTCCTCCCAGACGGATTAGTTTTGTCTTCAAAACAAAACAATTCCAACAGCGGGTGTGAACACGGGAAGTAATTTTGCTCGAAATATTGCCAAAAACAAAAACTTATCATTGTGTGTAAACCATTGAAATATAATTATACTTTATTAGTTTGGTCCTGTTGTGCTTAGTTCAAATTTCTTGCTTAACAAGAGTCAAATATACAGGTCGGTAGGGAATCGAACCTCCGACCATATGCGTGATCGATAATGGTCAAAACCGTCGTGCCACCGACGCACTTAGTCAGTCTTTAAACCTGTGTTCAGAAATAAGTTTGAAATGTGGTTTATAAAAATTTTTTCTTAGAATGGTAGGGTGAGGTGATTCCTCCAGTAGATACAAAAAATGAAATAATTCACTCAAAAATAAAACTAAGACAAAAGCAAAAACACAGTGACTACTCAAAGGATATATGCAGCAGCTGAAGAATATGTGCATACACTGCAATGTTTTGGACAATGAAATCGATCTTTTAGTGATGCGAGAAAAGTGAATACACAAGGAAAGAAATTAACCAACCTAGGCTTTTGTTTCCCAACTTCTTCGACTGCAGAGTATTTTGTCGTTTTAGTTTTGCCTACTTGTTACTGTTACTATCTCTTCTTTTTATCGATCGCCCCTTTCTGTGATGGTGAAAATTAAAGATATCTTGGATAAACAAAACTCAAGTCATGAGCAAGTTCTAAAGGTAATTAGTTAGAATGATTTTCTTACTGCTCATGCATACATTGTTGAAAGTAGATGACCAATGAACACATGAGAACTTGAACAGCTAATATTGTATGTTGAGGAAATATGCTTCATCCCTTGTACATATAGACCACAGGAAAATTAGAGGGTATTTTGAGATGATATAGCTACTGCTGTGTTTATGTTTAGTGATAATAATTTGGAAAAAGCTATTTAGAGTATTTCCCTACAAGGAGAGATGTAAAATTTGATTGGTCGCTTGAAATTATTATAATATTATTATTGTTCCCTTGGGTTCATAGCGGAATATACGGCTTCAACTCCACGTCTCAACTTGCTTCTATCTTCTGTTGTACCTTTCACCTGCATCCATGTTAGTTCATACTGTTTCAACTCCTCTTCACACGATCTCCTCCATGTCACTCTCGCACTGACGTCCCACTCGCCGCTTCCCTTTCGGCCTGGTTCCACTCGAGCAATGGCCTGACGTGCGCGCGATGTCACCCAGTGGCCCCCTCAGCGAGTGTCCAATCCATCTCCACTTTCTCCTGCATATTCGTTGGTTGGCGATTGGTTCTTGTTTTGTTTCTTCTTGTTGGTGATTCTTTCCGGCCCGGGCATCTGATCTTCACTATAGATCCAGCGAAGACAGTTGTTGATAAAGGTTTGCAACAGGCTGTTGGAAATATTCTTTGTGACTCGCCCGCCAAATTTCTGATGCGTATAGAAGAACTGACCGACATGACGTTTGTATTGAAAATCTGACCGAATTTTGTTGTTGATGTTGGCTGAGTGACGAAGATTTCTAGATTGGTTTCAGGTTGATGAATGTGGTTCTCGCCTTCCCGATTCTCGCTGGATTTGACATCCTAGTCCGTTCTGACTGCCTGTAGTCGAGACAATGCTCCCTAGATAATTGAGTGAATGAAGTAACCTCCTTCAAATCCCTCCCGTTGATGGTGATTGGCGGTGGATGTTGTTACTATTGTTGTTGTTGTTGGTTATTTTCATAACCTCCGTCTTGTCTATGTTCACCTGGAGTCCTGTCTTCGCCGGCTGCTTCTTCGACCAGTTTGTCGGTTTTCGCTTGTATATCTTCGATTTTGTGTGACATCAAACATTAATCATCCACGCGCGAAATCCAGGTCTTCTAGGTTCTTCACGTCGGTCGCTTGAGATGGAAGACATAAAATGAAATCCATATGACATGTGTTGATTTTATATAGCACAGTGATACGCCACATGTAAACTGGATAATATCTCTACCATAATTAATCTAACTCCTCAAGGTCTGCAGACGTTTTATCAACAACTGCCTTCGAACCATACGGAGCATCAGATGACCAGAAAGAATAAGTTATGAGGAACTTTGGTAGCCAACCAACCAACCAACAACCTATGGCCCAACAGAATTCAGATGAAAATTGAGACTGATTGGACAGACGCTATGGAGATTGTGGGGTGACATCATACTCCAGACTTATGGGTAGCAAACGACAAGTTGGGCGATTGGGGTTTGACACGATGGAGATTATGTTGGGAGATGAAACCCTTTGGGCAACCGTGGAGCCAGCTGAAAGTGATTGTACAGAAAAAAGTGTAGTGAAGGTGTTCTGGTGAAGCCCTATTTTCCATTTTCAATCCAAGGGAATATTAATAGTCTTTTCAGAGTAAGATTTAATTTAGACGAAGCAATTAAGAGAGGTGATAATTTGTCTATCCTGACTGGTATCAAAGCAAAGTTTACCAAGGAAGGTGGTTTTAGTGTGATGACGAATTGTTTTTGAACGCATAAAGGTGGTTTAAAGTTCTTAATCGCTAGCTAGGGTTTCTACAAACTTTAGGATACGCCCCAAACACGTTCTACAGATAGGTTTAAAGGATTTCCCTTCTCTATAATATCTCTCGCAATAGAGGAGCTAGGTTTCCTATTCTTACCACTAATGGGTTCTGGAAATTCAGTTTGCTTCTGAAGCCATTTAGGAATATGCTCTAAAGCCAATCCTTACTTGCAAAGACTGATGAATCCTCCCTATGTATGCGTGTCCACGCGTACATTCAAATTGGTAAATAGAGTGGGATGTGACATCATTTCTTGCGTGTTCTAAGGGTTTAGATGGATACATGGGCTTCACATTGTCAACTGTTCTGATCTTAGCTGCATAAAAAGTTTTTTTAACCACAGAGTTCAACCGTCGTCGAATTACCAAGCTGCTATGACCACCCATATAGGGTATCTCGGCATACACATCTTCCTTAGTGGCCAGTTAGGGAGTGGGTCTTGAAATCCTAACTACTTTATGTCACCTAATGAACTTGTCTGGATAATTGTAATCAAACGGAGTTTGTGTCAACTTTCTTTCTTCTTCACCAAGTGTGTCTTCAGTGCATATTCGTTGGATTCTACTGAAGATGTAATTATGGAATTATGCTCTACCCCAGTGACGAATAGGATTAACTGTCTCATTTTTTCCTGTGTTCGATCAGCGGAGTACTAATGTTGTGTTTATTGGGTCATCAGCCCGTTACTTGTTTAAGTATTATCTTCATTTTCATAAAAAAGAAGCAGCTGAAAGTAGAAAACCCCGAGTTCACAAGTTTACAAAAGACTGCAGTATCACATAATAAAAATTTCGTTTGAAAAACGTCGTGCATACTGACTTCTCACCATCGGATGGTAATTATTCATACACAAAATGCAAAGGTGAATTTCTTCACAAAGAGACACCATGTACCGGGAAATCAGTCGCATCTTTATAACCCAACAATTGAAGATAAAATACAGCCAAATGAATGACCTCGGCTGCTTGATGATTCAACAACTTTTTGTCAGATTAATACAATTATAATTAGGAATTAAAATGCCATAATGGAGAAAAACTTTTCTTTCCGATGAAATCATCAACTAGGCTGTACATTCGTGTATTTATAATAAATGGGTAGGGAAGTTCCAGAATAATTTCCGGTTAAAGGTCGAAAATAAAATTCTCTTCATCATGGCATTTGAATTCCTAATTATAATGTTATTAACTTTTTGTCATTTAAGTTCACACTTTTCATAAGAAACTACTAGTCTACGATATGTGGAGAGAAAATGTCCCAGTCGTTTATATTGATGAAATCAGCTTTTGCTACAAAACCTGAGTAGATTACCTAACATAAGTTGAGATGCTCCAATGTGAGTAACTTTAACTTCCAGATGTTCGTTTTATGTGTATATAATGTCAAACTTACAAGGAGTAAACATCTGTAAAGAATTTATCCTCTTGTTTATATTTTGTATTGCTCTAATTTTTGTCAGGAATGAATTAAGGGAAAAAGTATTGAGCATGGGGTTACATCAGTTAGTGAACTGTTGAAAACCAGGGAGTGCTGGTTTGGAACTCATCAGGAGTACGTCACTATAACACTGCTAGGGGAAAATCTAAGACCTGCAGATTGCTAGGCGAAGTCACTGACTATTCTGTCAGTGAGGAGGGATCAAATGGCCAATGAATTCTAACCTCTGTCAATTCGCGATTTTAAACGCCACTGTCAGCCGAATTAGTCGGTAAGCATCTGACCTCACAACCTTAACCTGGTGCATCCCACTGGTCACGACTTCTTACTAGAACCCCAGGTAGCTACCTACCAGAATAGGGCAAGTCACTAGTGAGCATCTCATTGATATTCAAGTATTGGTTTGTAGGGATTT